AAACTGTTGTTTGTACCTTGTGTTTTTAATTGGCTGTACACCGCCGCGAGTCCTTCGGGAGAAGGGCGGTATATAAATTAAATTATAAATAAATTGTAAATAAATAAAAAATCATCAGAGGCTTTTTTTTTAATTTTTAAAAGCATTTTTTCTACCACCTCTTCGGCTGAAAAAATGCTTTTAAAAGTTAAAAAAAAAAAGCCTCTGACGATCGCGCGGCTCAGCCAACCAGAATCCGTTAGGGTTGTACTTTGTACAAAAAGCCAACTCTACCAAATGCCCACACTCTGCCAGGTTGGAGGCCCTGCTCCACTTTTGCCCAGGAAATGGGCAGCCCAGAAGTATGGGGGGTTCTTGCTTGATGGGGAGAAAGGCTGAAAGGGCCATCCTGTGCCAATCCAGCCAGCCTCCAGGTTGCAGCAGTGGAGAGGTGAATCAGACACAGGGATGATCCCAAGCAGAAGCTCTACCTTCAACCACCCCAAGGGCCCCACAAGGGCCCTCCCACCATGCTCTGGTGGAGTCTCTGAAGCCGGGGCTCTCCACACAGCAGAGCCCTCTGATGGGCAGGAGCAGAGGCTGGACTGTGCAGGGACTCAGCGCTGCTTCCGTGTTGCCTTTCTGGGCAGCAGCCTCCCCCTTTGCAGGCATGACTCAGTAGTCCCCTCCTCCTGCCTTCCCCACCCACCCCTCCCACAGAGGGCCAGTCACGTTGAACTCCTGGTGCTAGAGTAGTCCTGTGGGCTGCCTGAGACTGCTGGGAGGGAGGGGCTGTCTGACTCCACGGGTGCTGCCTTGGGGGTGCTGGGGGCCCACCTGTCTGGGCTCAGCCCTAGAGTTCCAAATGGGGGGAACCGTGGAATGACCCCTCCTACTGCGATGGCTGGGCCGAGGACAGGGTGGGTGGGTGAAAGGTCAGGCAGGTGGGCGGAGGCAAAGCAGGGGGTGCTTGTTTGATGGGCTGTGAGCAGCGGAGGGCCCCCTCTAAGGACAGACGAGGAGGCACCAGGGCCCAGCCTTTGTGGGTGATACAGGCTGTGCCTGATGGCCCCTCCCTCTGCCCTGGGCATTCTTGATGCCTGGGGCACCCTGGCAGATGTCTGCAGGGTCCAATGCCAGGGAGCCCAAGGTGGGCTGAGGACCGCCCTCCTGGCCCCCTTTTCTCTCAAAAGGTCCGCAGAGATAGCAAGCGAGAGGCAGCCAAAGAGCATTCAGGAGCAACAAGCCCCCCCTCCCCTAGAGCCCTCTGAGGCCAACTCCTTTGGCCTGGGCCAAGAGCCCCAGGAAGTGCCTGGGGGGAGAGGAAACACCTGGCACCCAGGTCCCCAGCAGGAGAAAGGAACAAACAGGAAGACCGGCAGTGGTCTTGGGCAGAAGGCCGGGCAGGGGGCAGCTGGAGGCCAAAGGGAATTCCGAGACAGGCCACGAGTGAGTCATGGTGCTCCCCCACCCCAAGACAGGATCGGCTGGAGGTGCCTGGTGGAAACTCCACTCAAGCCCAGTCACAACATAACCTTTTCCTGGATTGGCTCAGCTCACAGAGGCCTCTCTTCTTTTATTTATTAGATTAATTTATATGCACAATGACTCTGGGAGTATGTAATATTAAAAACCCACAATTTAGCTCCCACTCTACCCTGTGGCATCAACAGAATCAATCAGACCCCTTGATCGGCTCCAAATGGGGGTCCCCACTGATCCCCCCACACCTTTTAAGACCTTGCTGAAAAGCCATATGGCGGGGGGGGGGCAATCTTACCTCTGGGGGAATGGGGAGGGGCAGTGCAGCGAAGGCCCTTTTCCCGGGTCCCACCAGACCTCCCTCCCTTCCTATGACAAACCCTGCCATCCTGCCCTGGTGGGATGGGTAGATGTTTGGGGAGGGGCGGTCTGTCAAACATCCTGGCCCCAACTCATCTGGGGCTTTAAAGGGGGTAAGCAGCACCGTGAATTGGAATTGCACTGGGAAGAACCGAGGCACCCCGGGCAGCTCCTGCAAAAGACACACATCCAAATTTGGATCTGCACAACCCATGTTTAAGCTTGCCTTCCCCAACATGGTGCCCCTGGATCTCCCAAAATGCTTGTCACTAGCAAGGGGGGAGGAGGGCATGGTGCAGCTCTTCTACAGGCTGTCTGAGATTTCCCGCTGGAGGCAGATGGCTGGGCCAGGTGCTCCTTCTCGGCCAACAGCAGCCCCAGAGGCCATGCAGGGGGGCAGTGCAGGAAGAGAGGCAGTTGTAGGTAGATTATGCTTGCCACCACGGTGGAAGGAGATGCCCGGTCCCTTTCCACTGTCCATCGCTGAAGGGCATGTCACTTCCTTGCCACTTCCTTCCACTGCTTCTGAGTGCCAGAGCAGCTGCCCAAGAGGAGCCCTTGAGAGCCACCAGGAGGGGCCTGGAATCCCTGCCGCTTGAGCCCAGCCACTGGGCCAGAACTCGACCCGGGGCACCCTCCCAGCTGGATTTGGCTTGTCAGCCCCAGGCCTGACTCCAGCTGCCTGGGAGCTCTACAGGAACAGCTGCAGAAATGTGACTCACAAGGGCTCACCTGGGGAACAGCTGGATGGCAATGGTTGCTGGAGACTGGTCCCAGTGCTTGCTGGGTACCCCCAACGAGAACCTCTCCTGCCCCGAGAGTGGCTCACACCAGGATCTGGAGCCTGACATACTCAGACTGCCCTCCCTCTCGGCCCTCTCAGCCCAAGGGGCCTCTTCTGCCCCTGCTGGGGTGTCTCAGGGAACACGGCCGCTGTGTCTGTTTGCCCGAGTGGGTTTGGGCTGAGCTTGCTGGGCAGGGACGGACGTAAGCTGAACAGCAACTAAGTCAAGGCCTGGCTGGGCAGAGCACTCTACCTGCTGCCATGGCCTGCCAGGTGCCCCATGCGGCTGGAGGGACTCTTTGCCAACACCCTCCCTGGGTTGGGTGGGCATGGGGGTGAAGGGGAAGAGGGGCTCAAAGGCCAAATTCTGCAAGTGGAGGGGGCGGCAGCAATGAGACTGACCTGCCAGTCCCGAGGGGCAGCTGCTGGCCTGGTCCTCATGGGAGGGCCCAGCAAGGGAGGGCCTTCTTGGAGGCCATCCGCGTGGTGAAGAAGGGGCCAAGCGCCAAAGGCCGTAAAGTGGCCCCAATGAGACTTTTCCCACAGGAAGCTTGTGCTCCGCTTCAGCCGGGCAGCTGCAGAGACGGGGCCTAGCTGGCTCTCTAGTGGGCGTGGTTCCTCTGCCCTCCCAGACAGCCCTCCCTGGCCAGCGGTCAGCCTCCCATGGGGTAGGAGGCCTCCTTTCGGTTGGTCCCCCTCAATCTCAAAGGGACTCAGTTTGGAGTGAATGGGTAGAGCCGGTGGTCAGCAGAAAGGGAGCGGAGGTGGGGTGGCTCAATCTTCACAGGTTCATAAGGCTAAGAGGAGAGGAGTTCAGAAGGCCAAAATCAGAGCAAGGGATCTCCCAGTGCTGGTGCCCCAAGCTGCAATGTTTCCTCCCGCTCCAGGGGGAGAAGCAGCAGCAGCAGCAGCAGCCGCCCCCCCCCCATGCCTCCTGCCCTGCTGCTGCAGATAGATGCCTGGGAACCTGGATGGCTCATTGTCGGCTGGGAATGGTGACCACTTAGCTTGGAATGTCCTCTGGCTGGCCACTCCCCTGCACTCAAAGGAGCAGCGTGGGCAGGGGCTCTTGGTGGAAATGGTGCCTCCAGGTGGTCCTTCCCCTCCCACCCACCATCGCCCCAGGGCACCCAGATGCCCGGGCTCCTCCCCAGATACTGTTCTACATGGGATGGGGCGTGTGGGAGAGCAGCCGGGAGCCAGCAACACAGAGCGCACATGGAGTGCTCGGTGCCCTGTTCCTGACCCTTGCCTGGGCCAGCGGGGGCTTCCCCACTTCCTGGCCCGTGCTCCCCTCCCGCCCCCATGTTTGGGAGATTCCAAGCATTCAGGAACAATGACGATGTGGCCAAGAGGAGACTGGGTTCATCCTGGCCCAGCAGGGGGAAATCCACCCCCGCAGCAGCAGCCACTTCAGGGTGCATCATCCCAAGCCGGCTGATTAGCAGCAGGGGCTGAAATGTGCTGAATCGAGATTGCAAAACATGCGGGGTGGGGGGGACAGCTGCAATCCTTCCCTGAACCCTTCCAGCCTGAGTCCAGCGCCCGGGAGGAAACCCCCAGGCTGGGGGGGGGGGTGTCTTCCTGCTCCTTGCAGCTCAGGGAAGAAGCCTCAGAACGGGTCCTTTGACACCTACCCGGACAAGAGTCAACTTCGGGCCATGCTCCAGGAAAGGGTCTCTTCAGAGACCCACCCGGTTGGAAGGGACCCTGGTGGTCACCTAGTCCACCCTTGCCCCGAGCAGGAATATCCCAGACAAACGGATTGTGCCGCTTCCCTCTGTGGGCGGCTGTCTTGCCCGCTGACACTATCCCCTCCAAGAACCAGAAGGCAGTTTTCCCATCTTCCCTAAAGAGATTGTCTTCTTTAGGCCGCCCATCTCTAGTTCTTGTCTTCCAAGATTTCGTTCCAGGCTCCTGCAAATCTCTGTCCCTGTTGCAGCTCCTCCCCTCCGTCTTGGCTTGGGGCAACTCGAAGCGGGCACTCCAGTTACATTCCGTTCGGCGCATCCCAGAGAGGACTGTGCCAGCCTTAGCGCCCGTGCGGAGGCAGCCCAGGATCGCCTCGGCCGTTCCAGCAGCTGCAGCGTCCTGCTGGCTCAGGCCGGAAGGCCAGATCCTTCCCGGGCCGCCACTGCCTCTCCCGCTGCGTCTGAAGAGGCTCGACGCCCGCAATCTCCGCCGCGCACGCTTCAGGAGCTTTCTTCCCTCGGGGCTCGGGAGAAGGCTGCCGAGCGCTGGGGCCCCACGGAAGTCCCCGAGGGCGGCGGAGGCCAGGCTCCTCGGGGAGGCGGCCTCGCTCTCCGCTCGGGCCGAGCGCCAGTCTCGCGGAGGGGGCGGCTGCTCGCTCGGCGCTTGGCCCGGCGGGGGTGGGAGGAGGGGCGGTGCCCGCCGCTGACTTCCTCCCCGCTTCCTGGCAGGCGGGCGCAGCGCATATAAAGCTAAGCGCGGGGCGGCGGGAGAGCACCGGCACCAAGCTCAGGAGCCGCTAGGAAGCCGAGTAAGCAACGGGGACGCGTCGGCGAAGGGGCTCCCTCCCTTGCCAGCCCAACGGACGGCCGCTTGCTCCCGGTCGGCCTGGCGGAGGAGGTTCCGTTCCTCCAGCTCAGAGAACAGAACTGGGCTGGTCTCGACGGGCCTGGGATAAGAGGCAGGCGGCACCCCCCCCGCCGCAAGCAGTCCGGACCCGCTTTGGGCCGCCGGGCGCCGCGTCGGTTCATCTTCTTCCTCTCTCGGCAGGATGGAGCTGTGGTCCCTCTTGTCCGTGGCCTGCCTGGCCCTTTCGCATGCCGCGGCCTCCCCTTCTGGCCGCCAAGTGATCCGGGTGGCCCAGCTCTCCACGGACTTTGGGGTCCGGGTGTTCCGGGAAGTGTCCAAGGCCTCCAAAGACCAGAACCTGGCCTTTTCCCCCCACGGCGTGGCTTCGGTGGTGGCCATGCTGCAGGTGGCCTCTGAGGGAAACACCCGGGGCCAGATCAAGGGCGCCATGAGGTTCGGCCTGAAAGGTGAGAGGGCTGCAGGGGGGAGGGGTTGGCACTTCACTAGCTTTTTGGTTTGCTCTTTGGGGGAAAGGAGAGCAGCTGGGGGAGGGGCAGCCTAGTTGGGCCTCTGACCTCTCAACCTGCACCGCCTGGACAGCAGGAACAGGTGGGCTCGGAGAGCTCCTGTCATTTGCAGATCCTACCTGAAGAGCCAAGGGAAAGCGGGGAGTGTGCCAGGGCAGCATCTGGGGAGGAAGGCCCCGCCTCGCCCTCCTGCAGGCCAACTCAGCTCTCCCCAGAGCAACTGCCCATCCCTGGTGGGTCAGGAGAGGGCCTGGCTGTTGGCTCCAGCAGAGCTGAGCACGCTCTCCATCCCCACAGAATGGGGCGTCCCACGAGCCCTGCGGCTGCTGCAGAAGATCCTGAGTGACCCCCGGAGCAAGGATGTGGTGCAGATGGCAGATGCCCTTTTCGTGCAGCGTGATCTGCCGCTGGTGCCCACCTTCATGCTGCGCTTCCAACGACTTTTTCACCAGATGGTCAAGCAGGTGGACTTCTCGGAGAGCGGCCGGGCACGTGACATTGTCAATGCCTGGGTGAAGCAGCACACCAATGGTGAGCGGCAGCAGAGGGCTCCCTCGGAAAACCAGGCAAACTCTACCCTGGGTCCCCAGGCTGAAAAAGCTTGATTCAGGCCAGGACTTAAGCCGAAGGGTCTCTAAGCCTGGAAGCAGAGGTTGCCCTGCTGCCCCCTCACCCCCCCCCTTTGACCACCTCTGCTTTCTCAGGGATGATCCAGGGCTTCCTGCAGGAGGGCACCCTGGATGCCATGACACGCCTGGTGCTGGTGAATGCCATCCACTTCAAAGGCCTCTGGCAGCTTCCCTTTCCGAAGGCTGCCACTCGCCAGCGTATCTTCCACAAGCTGGACGGCAGCACCGTTGTGGTCCCCATGATGGAGCAGATGGCTGAATTCCACTACGGTGAGGAGGCCCCTCTTTGGAGCGATGGGGGCGGGGAGTTTTGGCTCTTGGGCTTGAACCAGCCGGAGGGAGCTTCTCTGAGCATGCGCAGAGCACTTCTGGTCGCCTCAGGGGTAAGGATGCGCAGGGTCTCATCTGGCACCCCTCCCCCCCTGCCGCTGGACCTGCACAAGAGAGAGCACAAGAGAGAGGTGCTGCCCATTGTTGTGGCCCGTCAGCAAAGGACTTGGGGGGCAATCCTGCTCACCGATCTGTCCTCTCTTTGCAGTGCGGGATGCCCTCTTTGTGTCTCATCCCCCCTTCTCTTTCAGGCGAATTCTCCACCCCGGAGCAGGGGGACTATGATGTCATCGAATTGCCCTACCAGGGGGAGACGCTGAGCATGCTCATTGCTAGCCCCTTCCAGCGGGACGCCCCCCTCTCGGCCCTGGTGACTGCTATCGACTCCTGCCTCATCGCAGAGTGGAAGAGCAATATGTCTGCCGTGACCCGGCTCCTCGTCTTGCCCAAGTAGGGGTCGCTCGGGACTGCCTCAAGCCACCAACCCCGCATAGGCTTTTGCCCCTCACTGACCCTTCCTTCTCTGCAGGTTTTCTCTGGAGAGCGAAGTTGACCTCCGCAGGCCACTGGAGGCCCTGGGCATGACAGACATGTTTGATTGCGAGAAAGCCAACTTCAGCCGCCTCTCAGGTTGGGGTCTCCCCTCTATGCCGCCCTTGGGTCGTCATCCCCCAGGCTGGGCACTGGCTGGCTTGCAGGGAGCCTGGCGGGGCTAAGGCCCAAGCCCAGGGGGAGGAGGAGGAGATCTCTGGGAGTGCGCAGAGTGCTTTCCCTGGAGCCCATCAGCTCTGCGGAGAGGCCTGAACCCCCCTGGCCGAAGCAGGCAGGCACTCTGTATCCTGCTGTGGCTTAGCTGGCACCCCTCCCCCCCTGCCACTGGACCTGCACAAGAGAGAGGTGCTGCCCATTGTTGTGGCCCGTCAGCAAAGGACTTGGGGGCCAATCCTGCTCACCGATCTGTCCTCTCTTTGCAGTGCGGGATGCCCTCTTTGTGTCTCGGGCGCTACAGAAAGTAAAGATTGATGTGAACGAGAGTGGTACCGAGGCCTCTTCTGCCACAGGTGGGTGCCCTGGGTCACTGCCAGGGGCTCTTCTCTGTCCAGTTCTGTTGGCAGAGAAGAAACTGCTTCTTACCAGCAAACAACCCCCCTACACACACACACACACACACACACACACTCTTTGAGGCTTCCTAACATGCACCCGGGTTGGTTTTGCCCCGAAGTGGGTCACCCCCATGACTCCTCCTAGGGGCCTCAGGAGGAAGTGAGGAGCCAGGGGCTCCAGGCTGTGCCAGGCGGAAGGCGGCGCTGCTGCTTACTGAACCTACCAGTCAAACGTTAAGCTGTTGAATGAGGCCCCCTCCTCCCTCCCTTCCAGCTGCCATCGTCTATTCCCGGATGGCGCCCTTGGAGATCGTGCTGGACCGGCCTTTCCTTTTTGTTGTGCGGCACAACCCAACTGGTAAGGCCCACCGAGGACCCTTCCTCCCGCCAAAGACTGCTCCAAAGTGGCTTCTGTCCCAGGGATTGCAGGAGCCCAGGGAAAAATCAACTCGCTCCCCCCCCTCCACCAAATAAAGGAGGGCTTCACTTGAACCAGGACTGCCCCCAGCACCAGATGTGGCTTTGCTGCCTGTTCTGGTACAGGCCGAGGGAAACTCCTCCTTGGTTCAGTCCAACAGCCGCATGAGTTTTCCAAAATTAGCTAGAGGTGACTAAATTGGGTGGCTCACTGTCGTGAGACACGGCTGGTTGTGCCAACTGGTTATTGTGCTAAGCCTTCACAGGATATCTTTGCTTAGCACCACTGTGATGCCAACACAACCTTGGCGTGGGTGACCCAGGTTTAGGGTGGAGCTGCTTTACAACCCAGCCAATCTGAGCCACTGGGAAGACCTTCAGGGCGGGGACCCTGTTTGGGTCTGTTCTGTTCATTCTGGTGAGGGTGGCAGCTCAGAGACGGACCCTGGAAGTAGAGTGCCCTCCGTGCCCCCCCCCCGCTGTATTGGGCTGTATTTCGCCTGGATAGCTAGCTGGAGATCCAATGGATGCGGGCAGCCAGAGTGCTACCTCCTTCCAGCCATGGTCCTGCTTCCGCTGGAGGCTGCTGGTGTGCAGGGAGCATGTTCTGGCACGTGGGGCTGTTTTTGGCCTGTCCCGTTTCTGTACCCGCCCCCCAGTGAAGGAAGAGGGCAGAGGCAGCTGCGCTTTGCCCCACCCGCTGCTGGCCTCCCATAGCATCTCTGTTCCTCCTGCAGGAACCATCCTCTTCATGGGGCAGGTGATGGAGCCCTGAGCGCCCCTCTGCCGCCGGACCTCCCTCTGAAGAGAAGGGGGGCCTTTCTTCGCCCGCCCAGGGAGCCTCCGTGCCAGCGGGATGACCCACCACCAAGCCCTTTGTGGAAGTCGCTTCTGCTGGGCCTTCTCCCTTGCCTGCCCTGCCACTCCTGGCATCGAGAACCAGGCACCGGCAAACCAAGTTCCAGGCAGGAGCTCTGCCAGCTGCTCTCAAGGAATGAATGCCTGGATGGAGAAGGTGCCACCGTGGATGCCAGCCTTGCCCGGGCACTGCCCCTTCGCACTGGATCAGGGAGCCGGTCCCTCCTCCCCTTCTGGAACAAGAGCCTCTTGGGGGGAGCTGCCCCCCACCGTCTGAACTAGAGCACTTTGGGACTAAGAAGAGAAACTTAATATATGCAGATATTTTGTCTTATTTTTGCACATAAAAATACACTGCGACGGCAACTGACTCGCGTGCTTTGCAGGCCAAGCGGCCCTTTTGAGCGACGGGGCGGTCGGGAGGCGGGAAGGCGCCGGCAGGGGGCGGGGGCGAATCCGGGCTCCGCCTCTCCCGGGTTCTTGGGCGGGGCGGCCAGGGGGGCTCCCATTGACGTCACGGCAGGGCGTCTCCCGCGTCTCCTGGCAACCGTCCGGGGCCGGAAGTGCGCGCCACGAGCATGCGCGGGCGGAGGCACCTGGGCAGGTTAAGGCGGAGAGGAAGCGGCTGCCGGGCCCGCCTGGGACGCCCCGCCGCCGCCGCCGCCGCCGCCATGGTGAGGAGGGAGGGCGGGAAGGAGGGAGGGCGGGGGCATCGGGCGCCGCCCGGCGGGCAGGAGCAGCTCGAGGAGGCCCGCGTGGCTCCCGCGTCGGCGGGCGCGGCTCTCCGGGCCCTGCGGGCGGGCGGGCGGGCGGGCCAGAGCAAGGCCGAAAGAGCGGGGCCTCTGGCGGCCATGATCCCCGGGCCTCCCCGCCCCACCCCCCGCCCCCGGGATCCGCGCCTGGGGTTGGAGCAAGGGACCGCCGAGGCCCTCAGTGGGGGCTTTTGGGGGGCGGCGGCGCTTTTGTCTCCTTTCGCGGCCGTCAGGCTCAGTTCCTCCGCGCTCCCCTCCCCCACGGAGCCTCCCCCGCTGCCCGGCCTCTCTGGGCTCGCGAGGGGGAGCAGAGGGGGTTAGGGTTAGGCTCCCCGGGCCCCCCATGCGCTCCCCCCCCCGGGGGCTCTCATAACGCCCTCCTTGTGCGCTTCCCGCCCCCCCCCGCCCTCCCCCTCCCCGTCCCCCCCCGCGGACGGGCGACCTTGGAGCCGGGGTGTCCCCTGCGCTGCCCAGGAGGGTTTGGGGGCGCTGACCCCCTGTGTGCCCTGCAGATGCGCTTCATGCTGCTCTTCAGCCGGCAAGGGAAGCTGCGCCTCCAGAAGTGGTACCTGGCCACCTCTGACAAGGACAAGAAGAAGGTGGTCCGGGAGCTGATGCAGGTGGTGCTGGCCCGCAAGCCCAAGATGTGCAGCTTCCTGGAATGGCGGGACCTGAAGGTGGTCTACAAAAGGTGATTCCTTTCCAGGAGGAGGAGGGGCCGGCTGGCCTGCGAGGCATCCTCCTCCTCAGGCCCTTCTCTCTGCATCCTCTCTGCAAAGGGGGACCCTTTGCCGTTTGTGGGGCCTTCTGGGAGATGGTGCGAGAGGGCCTCTCCTTTGCTGCCTCTGCACACCTGGCTTCCTTTCTGCATCTCTTGGGGGTGGGGGTGGGGGTTAGAGGAACAACTGGTGGAGCCCAGAAGGTGGTCTGCTCCTCCAAGGCCTTGCCTGGGCTTTGAGCCAGAAACAGCCTGGTTATTTGGGGAACGGGGCGTCCCCCAGGAAGGCCTTGCTTCCTCCCAGGTGAGAAGAGCCTTGGCCAGAAGGAGCCAAGGGACCTCTACTACAGCCACATTCTGTGCTTTCTTGCTCCTTCCCTTCCCTGCTGGGGGACAGCAGAGGGCCTAGCCCTACCCACTCCTCTCTCGTTGGGGATCTCGAGGCAGCAAGCGCTCTGTTCTGTTGGCTTGTGCCTCCCATGTCCTCCCACAGACGGCTGGGCTGAACGGGTAAGGTGGCTGCCCTTCCCCAGTCAAGTCTCTCTCTGGTCTTTAAATGCTGCTCTGGACAGACCAGCTTCTTTGCTGAGGAGAGGGTTGCTCCACCCGTTGGAGTGGGTTACATCCCAAAGACGGTAACGGATCTCGAGAGGAACGGGCCGTTGAAGGGCTCTGACTAATAAGAATGCAGGGCTTTCTTGGTGGTCCTCTATTCCTTTCTCTTCCTCCCCCCTCCTGAATGCTGTTTGATACTTCAACAGGAGAGGGAATGCTGTGGGGCAAGGGAGAAACTCACGGCCCCTCCTTCCTCTCTCTGGCCCAGGTATGCCAGCTTGTACTTCTGCTGTGCCATCGAGGGGCAGGACAATGAACTGATCACCCTGGAACTCATCCATCGATACGTGGAGCTGCTAGACAAATATTTTGGCAGTGTGAGTCAAAGGGAGTTGCTGCTTTCCTTTCTTGTGCTGATCTGGCCACTTGCTCTCACCCCCCTTGTGCTCCAGGGTTCCTGCCCCACACCTTCATGACCTCTGGAACTGTGGCTGTTGCTAGGCCTGCTAATGACAGGCTGAGTTTCCTCCAAGCCAGGAATCGGGCTGGCAGCTGGGCGGGGCACTTCTGTTTCCCCACAGATCATGAGCAAAGCCTTCCCTGCCTTCTGCCCCTCCTCCCCAGGTGTGTGAACTGGACATCATTTTCAACTTCGAAAAAGCCTACTTCATCCTGGACGAGTTCCTGATGGGGGGGGAGGTGCAGGACACCTCCAAGAAGAGCGTCTTGAAAGCCATTGAACAGGCAGACCTCTTGCAGGAGGTAGGGGCTGCGTGGAGGGGGGGGGGAGGCAGACTGCTCTGCTGCACCGACTGCCAATGGCTGCAGGAGGAGGAGAATGAGGAGAAAGAGCAGTCCCCACCCCCAGCTCCTTGGCTGCTGCATGCCATGAGTCACCACAGGCAGGCAGGCAGGCAGGCTCTGTTCTCTCGCTCCCACCATCGCAGTGGGTGTGGGTGACTCGACTGCTGTGAACAGTGGGGAGGAGAGCAGCCATGGCCCCCAGGCTCCTCTGAGACCGTGGGGTGCCTGGCTTCTGGCACCTGGAATGGCTGCCTTGCTGGCAGAAATTTCACTAGCTGGCCGAGCGTGTGCAGAGTGCCCTCTCAGAGCTGTCTTTGGGGAAGAGGGCTTTGTCTGCAGCGTGCGGAGTTCTCTAGCTTGATGCCCCCTCTCCCTTCCATCCTGCAGGAGGACGAGTCTCCTCGGAGCGTGTTGGAGGAGATGGGGCTGGCATAGCTTGGCTCCCTTCAGAATCTCAGGCCGTCTTCCCTGCCACCCTGCCTCTCCCCCCCCCCTCCACTGCCCCACAAGCTCTGCGGACATCGACTCGTCAGATTCTGGCAGGTGGGCAGCTGGACTCCGCAGCCCCCGACTCAGAGGCAGGATCCAGGGCAGTTTTCGTCATGGTCCCGGGTGCTGGTGGTGAAAGGCTCTTCTCGCAACCTTCTTCTTCACTCGGTTGTCCACTCCTGCCCCCTTTCACACCCGCAGCGTCCATCTGCTGCTGCTGACCGGCCTCTGACAGACCCCATGGCGCCCAACTCCTCTCCCCCCCCTCAGGGGAGCCATATTGGGAAGCTACAAGGTCACCATAGAACAGCAGCTTCCTCGAACCCGAAGGCTGCTCTCTGGATGTTTGGGGCTGTGTGTGATTCTCTGCACTCTGCCCCTGCCGGCGCGTCTCCGGCGCAAGGAATGGGAGGGGATGGTCTTCCCGGGTTTTCTGGAATAAAATGTGTCTGGAAGAGTCTGGCCTGATGGTGTTTTTATGCCTAGCAGGATCCCAGCAGTAACAGCTGACCTGAAAGATGCAGGTGCTGCACACGCTCCATTCTTGATGTGTGGGGATGGAACGTGGGGGGGCCAGTGGGGAGGCGAGGGTCAGCCAGGGCACCCCTGCTGCTGGCCCTTCCAAGTCGGGGGGGGGGAGGACTGGGGCCAAGCAAGCCCCGACGGCTTGGCAGCTTGATTCCTTTTGCCAAGTGGCATCTTGCCTCGCATCAGGGCACTTGGGGAGCTGGAGGGGTGTTGCGGGCAAGGGAGATGGCAGAGCGGAAGGCTGGAGGTGCAGGGAGGGTGGTGAGGCTTCGGGCTTGGATGCCAGAGCTGCTTGGCTCCTCCAGCCCAGGAGAAGCTGCCCTTGGGCACTTTAAGCCCTTTCCTCTCCCCACAGGTGGCCCAATGTGGTTTTCATCCCTTAGTCAGCCGAGAGGCAGACCGAGAAGGGGGGAACTCTGCAGGTCCTCGCCTAGTGGCCTCCTGCTTCCAGCCGTCAGGGGCGCGAGGGCTGGGTCGGCCTGAGGAGAGGACTCCCCTTCAAACAGGTCCTGCGGTCCCTCTTGCCCTCCCTCGCCTTAACGGGTGCCGTGCGGTGCTGAAAGCCACCATCTTGCCGCTTGATGTGATGGTTACTTCCCAGAGTACCTGAGAAACACACGGAGAAAACAGGCGTGGCAGTTACTACTAGAGTATTTCAGAGTTCCTTAGTGGGACATCGTCATCTCTCTCCAACTTACATGGTGCCCATACCACAACTGACTTGGCAGGATATGAAGATTAAAACCCCACATTTTAGAAAGAAAAAGGTAACTCGCCATCCTGATTACAAAAACAGACCTCTGCGGTCAGGCTAGCCTAACCTTAAGAGCCTTGATAGTACAGGGGTTTAGTGCACCCTGTAATTAACACAGCTGCCTGCAATTTCTGCTGGTTCGAATCTCTCCAAGGCTCAAGGTTGACTCAGCCTTCCATCCTTTCTAAGGTAGGTGAAATGAGGACCCAGTTTGTGGGGGCAATAAGCTGACTTTGTATAAAACATACAAAAGAATGAAGGCTATTGCTTAACGCATTGTAAGCCGCCCTGAGTCTCTGGAGAAGGGCGGCATATAAATCAAATTAAAAAAAAAAAAAAAAACCTTAGGGAAGGCTGAAGGGCTGGAGTCGTCCAGACCTCCAGGAATGCTGCTGTGCCTCCCCCCCCCCCGAAGGCAGGGCTCCTGGTGTTTCACGGAGGATCCCCCGGAACACAGCCTCTATACTAGACCAGGGGAGGGGGATACCTAGAAGCCTGTGGAAGAGCCAACCAGCGGTCCAAAAGCTGGTCTCCCAAGATTTTATTTATTTATTTATTTTATTTTATTTATATACCGCCCTTCTCCCAAAGGACTCAGGGCGGTGAACAGCCATCATAAACCAATGTACAAAATAGAATTTAAAAGCAGATTAAAGTAATTAAATCATAGGCCGAATTTAAAACACTCATTTTAAAACCAATTTTAAAACCCCATTAAAACCAGATTAAAATCATTTATCCCATCAGAGCAGCTTGCTGGAATAACAGGGTCTTCACTGCACGACGGAAGCAACAGAGGTCGGGGATCCTTCGTATGTCCGGGGGTAATTCATTCCAGAGGGCAGGGGCCCCCACAGAGAAGGCTCTCCCCCTGGGGGTCGCCAGTCTACATTGTTTGGCTGACGGCACCCTGAGGAGTCCCTCTCTGTGTGAGCGTACCGGTCAGTGGGAGGCAATTGGTGGCAGAATGCGGTCTTGTAGATAGCCAGGTCCCGGAAACCACCGGGAGCCAGTGCAGCTCGCGCAAGGGGGTTACATGGGAGCGACTCCTGAGCTGGCCAGGGGCAGCTGAACCGGCCTCTTGGCTGCCAACCTTCCTCCAGCCATTTTGAGGGGGGCTGCTTGGCAGCTGCTGAGGCTGAGCCCGTGAGCGGTCACATGGCCATCTCTCTGCCCATCCCTCTTTCATGGCCCTCCCAGTAAGGCCCCTCCTGAGGTTCCCTCCCACTGGTCCAAGTCCCTATGCTAGGGTCTCTCTCCCCACTGAGCCCCTCACCAGGTTGCTTTCTTCCTGGCAGAGCTGCCTCCACTCCCGAGTGAGATCCTGGGCAGCAGGGCAAACTGGAAGCCCCTTCCCAGGACAGCTGCTGGCCTCTCTTGCCTCTCGATGTGGCAAGCGAGGCTTCGTGGCTGGTGCCGCTTCCAGGAACCGCTGTGGAGAGCAGTGGAGGACTTTCTCTGGAAAGTGTCCTGGGCCCCAAGGCCAGCTTCTCCGCCCTGCTTGGATTTGAGGGGCTGTTGGCCAGGTGAGAGTGGGCTGACACTTGCCACTCTGCACATGCTCAGAAGCTACTTTGGGAAACTACTACGTTGCAGCACTTCCCTGAGCTAGTTCTGGTGAGGATTTGAAGTTTTCCGGATCCTGTATTGGAGGCAGAGGCCCATCTGGCCTATAGCCCACCAATTTGCAAATAATGAGAGTAACTCATAATAAAATAGTTGCTTTTATTTCTTAGCAAAACTAGTAATTCGACATGCTATTTACAACAGGGCAAATGTGTTTTATTTCAAGTACAACAAAATGGACCAGACATCAAAACAACTTCTTCTGCTTGTTTGTACAGGACTAGACATCACAAATTGAAGAAACTTGCACACTCTAAGACTGATGTCAGTGGAAAATTCTTACACGCGTGCAAAGCGCCACCTTCGCCACAGCCTCGTCAGCCTCCGGTGCTCACCCAGGTAGATCCCTCCGGCAGGCAGCTTTGGATGGTCATGAATGTTCACAAGCAGGTCTACTGAAACATGCTGAAGCCCAACCTCCCCACCCCTTGGAGGGTCCCTTGGCTCTGGGTGCAGCATACCAGCGTGGTGCTCGCGTGACTCCTCCGTGTCAACCACCTGCCCGGGAGCCGGTGACGACAGCCTGGCCTCTCTGTCCCAGATTGCCAGGGGGCGTCCCTGTGAGCAACTGGGCCAGGTGGCAGCCAAAAGGAAAACGGATCACCCGCCCCTCCCCCCGCCCCCGATCTGCCATCCCAGTTATGGCACAGGCTCTTTTCCATCACCACGATGGGAGGCAGATCCCCTCTAATAAGTGGCCGGCCTGATTCAAGGGCAGAATTGGAGGCGCAATCTCCAAGGAAGCCTCGTCTTGGGCCGCTAATCCACAGAAGGTAATGACATGCAGACCGAATCAGCAGATGCCACGGAGGCCATCTTTACCCAGCCTTATTTCCTGCCCCTCAACCAGTTTGGAAAAAATTGAGTTTCCTTTCTCTTCTAACTGGGAAAAAAGCCGATGTGCATTAGGAGAGAAAGCATAAACCACCCCAAGGACTTGGGTTAGCAGGCTTGGGCTGTGCTCCTAAGGCACACTCTCGTCACCTGGGAGTGTTTGAGTCCCCAGGGAGAAGGGCGGTATACAAATTCAAAATAAAATAAAAAATAAAAAAAAAATAAAAAAAAGGGCCCCAGCTAGCTCTTTCTAGTTTTTGGGTTGTTTTGAACGTCCCTGTAGCCAATATGGAAAGTCTGCAGCATGAGACTGGCGGGAATTTGCTTCTCCTCACTGATTAGGCTGTGACAAAAAGCAGATTAGAGAAACCAGTTTGGTGTATGGTTAAGGCATCAGGCTAGATACCAGGAGATGGTGAATTCTAGTCCTGCCTTAGGCACAAGACTGCTTGGGTGACCTTGGGCCAGTCACTTTTTTGCAGCCCTAGGAAGGAGGAAATGGCAATCCACTCCTAAAAAATCTTGCCAAGAAAACTGCAGACTGACTCTGAGAATTGGACATTGGACTCTGAATGGAAAGAAAGGGAGGAGGAGGAAGCAGATACTGAGTTCTTGGGTGGCAAGTTGTTCCATCAGAACCCCTGCACCCCAAGTCCAATAATTATATTTTGGGGAAGCCTGTGGACCAGAATTTGACCTAACTGGCTGCTCTCTCCTTGTCTCTTGAAGACGGAATAGAACCCCGTCCCTCAAAGTTACCGTCTAGAGCTAACTGGAGTTGACCAATGCTTCATTCCACAGTTCAGGATCAGCTCCAAGCCACCCTGGACTATCTTGTAGTTCAGACTGGCTTGTTTTCCAGGGGGGTGGGGTGGGGGAAGCAAAGGAGTCTGACTTGAGACAGGGGAGGGCAAGTGAATAGGGATTATTTAGGAGGTGGGTCTTTGTTGCCACACCCAACTCTCCCCTAATTCTTTTCTGCAACTTCTTTCTGCAAATGCTATGAAATGTGGGCTTCTCGGAGTTCTGCCAAACAGGGTGGGAGCGGTAACCAAGAGCTTCCAAGGAGTCACGATGCAACCGGCATTTTCACCTGAAGTGCTACCCTGGGAAGAAAGCGCTTGTGGCTTGTCCTGTTCTGCTCTTGTGAAGGTCTCTTGCTGCAGTTCCTTCGGGGGTCTTAAAAGGTCTGTGGGAATGGGGTCCCAAGTTGCTCAGAGAGGCTCCTTTAGACTGGATGTCGGGAAAAGGAAATTCCCCTTTTCCCCAGTGGAGGGCGGCTGTCTGAAATCAGATGAAAAGGGAGGGCGGCTGGCTGCCCCCAGGCACCGAATCTTGGGACCTTTCACCAGGTGGGGAGATTTGGTTCTCCTGAATCATGCAAGAACCCAGATTTATGTCAGAAACACTGAGTGGCCAAGTTTCTTTGGGTGGGGAAAGGGTGGGAGGAGAAGCGGCTGCCGCCACCTTCACTAGAAAACTTTGGGGTGCTTCATCAGCAGGTTCTCCAGGTAGTTCTCCAGGTCCTCATCGTGGGCTTGGATGTCAAAATAGCCATCCCGTGGCACCATGGGGCCCGGCAGGGGGTGGTAGTGGTGGTAGACTGGAGTTTGGAAAGTCCGGGGGTCGATGTGGTTGGAGAGCTTGGTGCTTCTGTCCTTGGCCTGGTACCGCTTGGGGACGGGGAATTCATTCCCTTTCAAGACTTCGTTCCAGGCAGCCTCCTCCTGCTTGGGGAGGTGGTGGTATGGCTGAAAGGCTATGGGGTGGGAGGCCTTGGGGATGGGGCGGGCCTCTTGGCGGGCACTGGGGTGAGAAGGGGCCTTCTTGGGTTTGAGGTGGGATGGAGCCACAAACAACTTGCCCTTGCTGCTGGGCTCAGGCTCCTTCTTTTTCTCCACGTGGTTAATTATATCAATGACATCATCAGCAGGCAAGTGCAGCTTGCTGGACAGCTCAATCAGACGGTCAATGGTGTTTGGGTCGATCTCCTCCTCCTCCTCCTCCTCCACCTCCTCCGGGGTCTCGTTGGACCGCTTGTCTTCAGCCACGTTGTCTTCCCCATCTCCAAAGAGGAGGGAGGCCACCTTGCTTCCTTCTTCTTTGGACTCCTCCTGGGCAGCGGCCCCTCGCTGCCCTTCGTCGCCATCGTCTTCTTCGCCATCCTTCAGCAAGTACTGAAGGAGCAGGTCAGAGGCCATGTCTGCCAGACGCTCTTCCTCGGCGGCAGCCCGGCGGGCCTCCTCTGCCTGCCTCCGGCTCTCGGCCAGCTCCTCATAGCGGCGCTGCAAGAGCTGGTGCTCCAGATGCTGCTGCTGCCTCAGCTTCCGGGCTCCGGTCCAGGACTCCTGGGCGGGGGGTGCCTTGCGCTTAATGTTGAACTTGAGTTGCTGGTACTCTTCCAGTTCCTTGAGCATGTCATCGGGGTGGGGTCCTTGGGGAGACTCAGTAGGGGGCATTTGATGCCTGTAGGAAGGTTCCTCTCGCTTGTCGGTGGGGCTGTAGTGTTGCAGCTCCTTCAACATGGACTTCAGGTTCTCCATCTCCGGCTGGTCAAAGATCCTTTCCTCGGCCTCCTTCCCTTGTGGTGGTTGGTCTCTGTCCTTGTTGGATGGCCAACCTGGCAGGCTCTCTGGCTGTACATCAGAGCTCCTGGCCTCACTCTGGACTCGTTCCTCATTGGCACCGGGCTTGGGGCTTAGGGATGTCTCCTTGGAGTCCTGGGGTGCAATCTGAAGTGCTTGCAGGAGGACGGCAGCAAGGGCCTTGGGATCCATGTCTTGGAAGAGTTCCTCTCTGATGCCCTTCTGCTTCCCAACGTCTGGGCCCATCTCTGCCCACTCTTTGTTGGACTCTTCTGGAGCTTCACCCAACTGGCCCTCTAACCCATGAGGAAGGGGAGCAGCCAGCTCGTGATGGCACTGCACCAAGAGGCAGAGAAGAAGGATCCATGTCCCTCTGTGGAGACGCTGGGGCCAAAGCATTCTGATGCACCACTGGATGATCTGTGGGGGGAGGGGGGAGAGACAGACAAGGGGGCAAGGTCAGAGCTCGAGTGTCCCAGGAGCACTAAAAACACGTATGGCCTCCAGAGCTGTTGACAGAAAGAGCTGGCTGGGCTCTCTACTCCTGTCAGAGGTGAGATGAAATTGCCCCCCTCCCATTAGCTGTTTGGTATGGTTGGCTGGAGAAATTTTTGCCAGCTGTACAATTAAGGTGGGATGCCATCTGCACGGCACATGGGTCACAAAGTGACTAAGGGTGGGTGGATCCACTCCCTGCAGATGGGCATGCTGACCAGCACACTCTCTGGGCCCCTTTTGTCCGAAGGCGCACTGGCAAGTGTGCACCGGTGGGCACACTGGCAAGGGCTGCCCATGGCATGGCTGGGGCAGGTGGTCTCTGAGTGGATCCTCAAGAACGATCCTAGAACAGCTGCAGCTGGAGAGAGCCAGTCTTCACCTTCCCTGCGCCATGGAGGGGCATTGCTCCAAGGAAGATGGTACCTCCCCCACCCACCGCGAGTCTGCACTCGCACCTCCTGCCTTCTTCTCCACAGAGCATGTTGGCAGGGGGGGGGGGAACTCCTCATTTGAAATGAATTACTGTTCTTGTTGCTTCTTGCCAACCCGTCCCAGTCACTCACCCGGCCCAATCCTCTGGGAGTGGACTTGCCTCCCCCACATAGAACGAAATCCTCTTTTCTAGAATGGGCTTCTCCTGTGCCTCACCTGGTTCCGGTGTGTGTGTGTGTGTGATGGACTCGACATGTGATGCTTCTGTCTCTGCCCCTTTCCGTGATTTTGGAAGGAGCAGCTCCTGCTTCCCTTGGCCCAATTATCACCACCCTAGCCATCCAGCCACCCCCCACCCAGTTACTGGTGCAGATGGTCCTCTGGAGGGGGGAAAAGGATCAGCCTCCCCTCAGCAGAGCAGCAGCAGACCGCTCTGCAGTCACCCACCCACCCACCCACCGCCCCTGCTGGCAGGGAGTGCTGGGGAAGCGCAGCCTCCATTCCCTCCCCTTCAGATCCCTTCTGAGGTCCTGCTTCCTTTTGCCCGTCCGCCTCTAGGATCGACTTCGGCCTTTCGACCTCTCAGCCGCGCCCCAGATTCTTTCATGCCGATCGGATTCAGCCTCACCGAGATCTTTTTTGAACAGCCTTGGCGATTTCCGCAGTGTTTACACCAAGCGACGCCTCCCCATTCTCCTTGGAGACCCTCTGGGAGGCGACCCCTTTGCTTCGCCACTCCTCCTTCCTGCTTTTCACAAAACAACAAGGAGCCAGATCTTCCATGGGGTCCGCCTTCCCCCTTCTCCTGTGAGCCCGAGTCAGCCAGGTTTATACATTTGTATCCCTCCCGCTTGAATTCCGGAGTGACGCAAGTTTTTCCCTTGCCCCGGCCGTGTCCACCTCCTGAAGGCTCGGCGATCTGGCTTCGTCGCCAGCAGTCCGGGCTCTCCCACCCAAGGCTCCCCTTCGACGGGGAGCCCTCGCCGACCGGCTTTCTCCTGACACCAGATCGCGTGGCTCGCTCGCCTCTCGTTCCCAGCAAATTCCCCCACCCGTGGATGGGCGAGGTCGGGGGGGGGGGAGGCGGTTGTCGTCCTCCCCCTCTTCTTGGGAGAGGGTACTCCCGCCCACCCACCAGCGCTCACCGACGTTTCTCTGTGGTCCGGGAGGGAGGAGCGCGTTAACGGCTCGGGTGTAGCTGCGCCGCCGGGGACTCCACCCTTTCACCGGTCCGCCCGTTCGCCGCCGCCGCCGCCGCCGCCGCTTGTCTTTCTCGGGCGTCGCTCTCTGCCGGATAGCCTTTCAGCACCTTGAACAGCGGCGGGGCTGGGCTGCTGCTTTTGTACTTCCAGCCCAGCCCACGTGGGGGGCTGTATTGACGTCAATGTTCATTCATAAAATTCGAGCAGGATTGGAGAGGAGTTCCGCGCCTGCGCGAAATGGAAATAAGCCTTTCGAGTGAACGGGTGAATGGCTGCCTGTGGCTGAATGAATGAGAGCGGAGTGGATGAATGAAGAACTGGAACGGGAGCAGCAGAGAAGGAGAAAGCCGCGGGAGAGGCGAGGCGTGGATTTGGTGAATGAATGAGACACTCGGAGGAAAGGGTGGGAGGGGCACAGACCCGGGGAGGCCCGAGGAATCTCTTTCCAGATCTTTACAGGGGCTTCCCCATTGCCCGAGCCAAGAAACGGAGCCGTGGTTTCTTTCCGAATCGCGTCGGCGGTTTGAAGACTGCCTTCTCAGAAAGCTGACGGCGGCCCGGGGGGAATCATCGGCGGTCATGCGCGGGCGGGGCGGAACTGGGGGCACGCGCGCTGAGATACCTCTGCGTGCACTCCGTGTTCCGCGTGCCTAGCGCGGTATCGGGTGGCCACCGGAGCGCGCAGGGGATAATATCGGCGCGGTGGGTCTTTAATCTCGGCGCAGCAGTCCTCGGTGCGCCTTTTGCCAGCGCCCGAGCAGAGCCTTCTGCCTTGCCTTGACGCGCCTACCTGCCGCCGCAGAACCCTCCGGCTCACCCGTGCTTACCTTCAGCTCCGTGTCTCGCTCGCTTCACTTCTTCCTGCCCGTTCTCTCTGCCCTGCCCTCTCAGGCGTGACTCCTTTTGGATCCGTACAGGGAGGCCTTTGCGAGGTTTCAGGAGAGGGTGAGTCACCTCCCCTCCCCCTGCAGTCCTGCCGGCTCTCCCCTCCCTCTTGCGTGTCCTTGGGGGTGAAGAAAGCTGCGCTTCTTTCTGCATTTGAACTACGGTGGAGGGGTTAGCAAATCCCAGACTGTGCTCAAAGCAAACACCCGGCCGGGCTCTTTCCCGCTTCTCCCCCTCAGTTATCAGTATAGGGTGTGCTTGCGGGAGTGGGGGGGAGCCACGATGGGTTGTGTTCCTTTCTCATGGATCTGGCATGTTCCACTTGGAGCAACGTCAGCTCCTGCCAGCTATCTGTGGATATGCCAGGAGCTTCCGTGACTGAGGCTGGACATGGAATACAAAAGGCTTATTGGATGCACCTTTCGAGGGAGGAAGGCTCTCTCTGCAGCACTGGAGGTGAAGGAATCCTCCAAAGAGCCATGGTCTTCTATGGTCTGAAAAGGAAACGCCATATGGCCAGTTGGGATTAGGAAACCAGTGTTTCCAACCACCGGCAGATACAACCCCCTTCTACAGGAAAAGTCCCGCTCATCTAGCCCAATCTTCCCAGCTGGGTGCCCTGCAGCCAGAGGACAAGCCGGCTGAAGGTTATGGGGACAGAAGCCCTTCCCAGCTGGAGGACGGCTTTGAACCTCATGCCTTTAGAAAGTCCAGGAGAGAAATTCAATCACGACTCTCCCCCTTCCTTTGGCCACACAGCACTGTATATTTCCAGCCAACAAGTCCAGGCTTCAAGGAGACCCCAACCTTTAAGAGGAATTCTGACCAACTGTAACAGCTTCGAGGAGGAGGAGGAGGAGGAGGATGGTGGTGGTGGTTTCAGGGGGCTAGAAACAAGATCTTGGAAAGGAAGATGGAAGGAATGGAAAAGTTTTAGCCTTGAGGAAAAATGACTAAGGGGAGATATGATAACAGGCTTCAAGCACTGAAAGAATGTCACCTAGAGAAAAAAGAAGACTAATTCTGATAACTCCAGAATGCAGAACAGAGCCACGATGTAAGTGACAGGAAGGTGGATCCACTGAACCGTAGAGAAAACATCCCAACAGAAAGGGCAAATTGATAGTGGCCACAAAGAAGGAGAGGGGCTGAAAAGGAGGCTTTCAGTTAAAGAGCCCGTTCCGGCTCTCCGATGCCCCACAGTGCTGCTTTCCTTTGTCCCTCTCTCCCTATGGCAGGGAGGGATCCCTGGAGCATCAGCAGAAAACATCCCAGGATTCTGCTGCAAGAACTTCTGAACGGTTTCTGCTGGGCGAGCCTGAACTTGCACACACTTCAGGGCCCACCAGAGGACTCTTCCCTACCTCAACTCTGCCACTCTTCTTTTGCTACATCTGGATGTCAAAAGAGCATCCAGCAGCAAGAAAAAGTTCCCAGCCAAGAAGGAACACCAACAGGAAGGTCGTGCTACTTGTGGGAAGCGAAGGAAGCAGGCAGGGGGGCCAAAACCTTCAAGCCACTGAAGGAGTCCTGAGATCTAAGGCAAGCATGGCTCCTCCCTCAAGGCAGCTCTTTTGGCCAACTCGGTCTTTCGTGTGTCCGGCCACACCCTCCATGGTGGGTGGGGGCAGTAATCCTCCCTCTTCTTCCTCACCCACCCCTCTCTGCCAGCAGTCAGTATGCATGGGAGATGCAGACTAAAAGGATGGGGGACCTGCTTCAGCTCGGTGCCTCAGTCCCCTGTAAGTGCCACACAGGGAAAAAAATTCCTCCTGGTGGCCATTTCCCCATCCTTCCCCAAGTGAATGAGCTGCTCCCTCCCGGGGCTGATGCCGGATTTCCGGCCTGTCAGAGTTTAGATTGATGCCTGGAGAGTGAGTCACTCCTGCAGCAGAAGGCACCGATTGTGTGAATGAATCAAAAGGGCTGGACTCCTGCCTGGCATAAACCAGGAGCTTTTCTGTTGCACTCGAGAAGCCCACCAACCCCAGTGTGGAGTGGGACCCCAGCCCTGACTAAGAAAGGAGTGTGGGAGAAGGCTGGGAATTCACTGGGGTGGGCAGATGTGGGTGGGTGGGTGGGTGGGTGGTGGACATGATTGGCAGTCCTTGATGACTTGTGGCTTTCTGCTCACCATATTGCCTAATGGCCCTCGATCACCACCATGGATATGGGGAGACAATCAGGAAGGCCTCGGCATTGCTGGTCACGGTGGACCTGCAGCTTCAAACAGAACATTTTCCCAGGTGTGGAACAAGAGTGGCCTTCCCCCCCCCCAGTCTTAAGCAGGGTGGGGTGGGATTGTGTAGCAACTGCATGAAGCTGTGTGCAATTCTCTCCCCGCCCCACCGCCCCCCCCCCATTCCCTTCCTCTTTTAAAACAGGCCCAAGAAAGAGACTGGGCAGCCGAGCATTGCCCAGGACTTGCCACTTCCATTAGACATGGGCCCCATTCCCTCTGCTGCTGCAGCCAGAACTGCCTTCTGGCTCTTGGCATCACTCCTGCTTCCAAAGCCAACCTGCCAGCTTGAAGGCCTCCTTTCCCTCCTGTGCCAAAGACCCCTTCCCTGCTCCCTGCTTTCATCTGCCCCCCCCTGTACTTTTCACATCCATTTGTCCCCCTTCCTTCCACCTATCTTCCTCCATGCCCATCTGGCTTTGGGGTTGGGTATGCTCCACTTACTGGGCCTGGCTGGGGTGTGGTCTACAAGACCAGCTGAGAAGGGGTCCAGCTTCATTTCCAACCAGTAACTCTCAATAAATAGGGCTGAGAAGGATTTGTGGAGGGCTTCTTTCAACCATCCCCATAGGCTAAATGGGGCTGCCTGAGGGGGCCTTTGCATTGGGTGTCCCTGAAGGAAGACAGGAGCCTGGGATTGGGATAAGATATGGCCCATCCCCAGCATCTGTCAGAACCTGAACAGAGCAGGGTTTGGCCTGTGGGGCTTTCTGGGCCCTTCTGAAGTTATCATCCTGTGAGACCTGCATCCATGTGGACCAGGCTCCTGACCCACAGCAGTTCTTGTGCCCCAAATCCTGGAGCTGCTGGGAGCTGGCAAGGAAGGGCTACAGTTACTTGGCCCCTCCAGATTCCTGGCCCATCTCCCCATCTCTGGCTAAGGGAAGTAATCTAATGTCCCTGGAGGACATCTGGAGGCCTCTGACTAATGACATCCTTGATATGAGCATTCCTAATTGTTGAAGGAGTAGGCAGAAATTTGTGCTGATAGCCCCCTGTCCTTCAGCAGCTGGAGCCTTACTGGGCTTGCCTGTTTCAAGAGGGCTGATGCTCGCCCCACCCCCCACTTCCAGCCTGGGCACCAGATGACTGTTGCTGCTGGTGGGCCTGAGCAGTGCTACTGTACGGGGGAGGTGTGACTCACAAGGAGACTGTGGAGGAGCCAAGCAACTGGGGAGATGACAAAGTAGCAATCAGTCTTTCTTCTTAGGAGTGGCTGTGTAGGGGGGGGGGGGAGCAGGGAAGCCAGGGCAGATGTCCAAGCTCAGGCTGGCTGCAACCATAAGTTTTCTTCCTGGGGGAAAGCAGGCAGGAGAACCAATGCTCTGGTCTCCAGAGGCTGCCTTTCTGGGTATGCCTACTTGTAGGTGTAAGCAGGGGATTGGCCTCTTCTTCCAGGTTATCTCAGGGCCAGGGGTAGCATGTCACAAGGCAGCCTGCGGGGGTTGATGAACGGCCACTAAAGGGCGAGGGAAGGCCCTTTAATAAAGTGAAGGGAATTGAGAACCACTGGAAATAAAGGAGAGGGAGGTGCGACTTGATCCTGAGGTCACCCTGTTAGCTGTAGGCTTCTGTAAAATGGGCTTTCTCTGCAGTGGTCCCTGCTCTGTGGAACATCCTCCCTTTGGAGATTAAAAATGGGGGAGGGTTTCCTGCCTGAGCAGGGGGCTGGACTAGAAGACCTCCAAGGTCCCTTCCAACTCGGTTTTCTGCCCCAACCCTGTGAGCCTTTCATAAGGCCCTAAAGACCTGGCTGTGTTCCTGAGCCTGCCCTGCTGGATGTGTCAAAGGCCCAGTT